CATATATATATATATATATACATATATATATATATGCATACATACATGAATACATATAGAGAGAGAGAAAGAGAGAGACGTGAGCACACATACAAAACATTCTTTTGCTCACCTCAGGGATGGTAATTTATTAATGTATGCGGGACTTAAGCAACAACTTCCAAATGTCTTTCCAATTTAACTAGCAAAAAAAATTCACATACCCTCAGGTGGGGAAAAAAATCAATATGTGTGGGTACAACAATAGGAATCCCAAACCATAAAAATATTCATCCAACTATGTGCAAAAATAGCAAGCACCAATTTAGAGAGTTATAGATCAAATATATGAATACAAAAATTAAGAATCGATAGTTCTACTGAAATCATACAAAAAAGTTTATCACGCCATCAACATCTCATAACTCTTGCTCCCACGAAAACAAAAAAATATTAATAACGGTAGATAAAGCCTAAAGTTAAATATCATTATGAATCAAAGAAAAATAGAGAAGCTTAGCTGTGGTTCCTAACACCTCAAGCAAAATTCGGTTGGATCAATAGAGAATCAATGGATTGACAGCTAGAAATGAAGAATGGAAGCAAACATAAAATAAAATACCCACGAAGCAAAAAAAACAGGGCGCATCAAACTTTATTGCAGATTGTAGTGGCTTGTGTGAAATCCTAACTGGTCATGATTAGCTGCAATAAAGAAGAAAGGAAATTAACAGTAGATCAAGACAACATGATCAATGACCTGACAAGTTGTGGCCAATTGAGGCAAGGAAAATTGGTGCATACTGACGATTAATGATAGATCATGGCAGCTCGCATGAAGGCCAAACAAGTAATAGCTAATTGAAATGAAGATTGGCATGTGCAAGGGTTGGGTCACCATATAGGACTAGGGCAAATTGTTGACAACATTTCTCAAGAGTTCCCATGAGTTGGTGGTTAGGGGAAGACGCAAGCAATAAGAAAAGGGAAATTTACATACTTGGAACAGAATTCATATATATTTACATATCTCACACCTAAACTTTCATATTTACATACACAGCACTTTGGTGCTTTAAACCTACGCATGAAAAGGTGTATTTCACTTATAAAAAGTGGTAGTAGTGTTATTTTTTATGTGATGTTAAAAATTTAAGTGCTGTGTATGTATATGAAAATTAGGTGAGAGATAAATAAATACATAAGAATTGTGTGCTATGTATGTAAATTTCGTTAAAGAAAAAAAAATTGAGATGCAAAAAAAAAAAAATTAAATAAACTAGGAATCTACGGTAAAAACTAAAACCTTATCTCTTCCTCATTCTTGATATTTTTTGTAAGGCTGATTAGCATGCAGCATTAGTATTATACATGACTCCTTGGTGTTTTTAATCAAACATGTGGATGCCATTTTTGGCAAATATTGGTCGTACGTCTATATCAGACACATGTGTACATTACAAATTTTGTAATTGGCAAAGTGTCGATGTATCATAGGTGATACAAGAAAGGCATTATGTGGATGTGTATGCATAACTTCTCCAATAACAGTAGTTACAATATAGAACAGGTGCATCAGCCATAGAAGGAAAAAAAACAAAAAATAATGTAATTGCCAAAACATCGATGAACAAATGCAACAAAAAAATCTATCAAAAATCATGTGGCACACTTCAAGTAGAAATAAACTTAGAAATAATTTTAGATTAGTAAAAAAAGGCATTCTAAAGATTACTGAATTAAGAAACTTCAAATTTGCAGTGACTTTCGCATATCCATCTTTGAGCAGCATATCCAATCCTACCAAATTGGCTAGTGCTGAAGGAGACCTTCTACAGAAGAAGAATAAAATTACATCAGCAGGAGTAAGAAAAAAAATTACATCAGCAGGAGTAAGAAAAAAAATTTCATTAAGAACGTTTATATGTAGAAAGTAAAATCCTTTAGATTCTTAAAGTTAAGAAAAACAAATAAATTTAATATCCTTAAATTTGTTAGTACAAAATGGCATAATTTTGTTAAGAACTTGTTTTATTAATAAATGTCAGAAAATACCTACTCAAACAAGAATTTCGCAGCACGCAATCCAGGGCTACCAGCACCAAACCATTCAAAATTCCATCGTCCTTCTAGAAAAGGTGATCTGATAAATTAGCAAAAAAAAGTAACATTGCAAAACAAATAAAAATACTTCAGCATCCATAAACATAAGCAAAAGAAAAACTGCACTCAGAATACATGTATTCAAATTTATAAAAGCAATAGAGATGTAAGAAAATTATGAAAGAAAATACAAAACCAAATCATTCATGTATATGCCACCAGGTCATGTATGTTCACAATATAAAAGGCTTGATATCTTACTGTAACAAAACTTACGTGGTGGGACGAGGAGTTGGATTTAATCGCTCAAGGCCAACAATCCTCTCATTAACATCGATTCGTTGTATTTCTGTAGCCTTCCCACTGATTAATGATTCAAAGCCCCCAGCATCCTTAAACTGAAGTAGTGGCACAAAAAAATCTCAAGTTCAGTGGGAAAAGAAGGGAAAATAATCCATCTAAAAAGCATGCCAATCAAGCTAATCCTCTAAGTACGCTATCATACACAAAAATCCAAAAGCAAATGCATAGCATGGAAAGAATGAGATAAAACTAGGAAGTTGAGAAATCACACTTTTTCACATAGAATGTGCTATAACATCAATATCGCCATCCATCCTCAACCAAAGCCGCAAACATGAATCTTCCATCACTTTTTCCCGTACTTTAATACTAATTTGGAAAAAAAGGGTTCAAAGCTGCTCTTAAATTAAATAAACAACCTAAACCAGTGTTATAGATTTATGACCATGCTAGATTAGCCTACCCTTCTCTTGCCTAGCCCATTGAGATTATTCTAGCTCCTATTTTACAGGCATCCTTCCCACTATACCATCGATATTCAAAACCATGTCAAGCGTCAGAATTTTACCAAAAATAAAGCATGTTGAAACGCAACCAAAAAATAAATCTCAGCTACAACGTCAATGGGGAAGACAAGAAAATATTTTCCGATGCAAATTACGCCGCACTTTTCCAAGTATACTTGCAAATTGATATCGAGCTCCACGCTTGCTAATCAGGATGAAGCAAAAGATCGCAGAATCAAAATACAAAAGGAAAATGAAACTCACGGCGAGGAGAAGAGATTCTTTCGCCGAGAGCCGCTCCATTTCTTTCGCATAGTTTGCGGAGGCTCCCTGATAGGTCTGCTGCTGAA